AAGAGGCCTCCGAAAAAACAAAAACAGAAACCAAATGGAATCTAAAGTACGTGTATGAGTGTTTGAGTGTATTCGTTTGGCACTTAGGATCGTCGTCGGCAGTCGTTGCTGCCCCGACAACAGTCGGAGTCCCAGTCCAACCGCAGAAGCGATCGAAGCATGGAGCACGGAGCCCGCCTGCCTGGACAAAGCTCCAATTGCCCCAGTGGAAATACGCGTGCAGTGTACTCTGCACTCGGCCCTGATATCTGGAGCAAAGCAACCTACTATCTATTCTCCAATAGAAACAACAACACACTAAACTAGATGAAACACACTGAGAGAAACGCAGGGAAGGTGGCTATGTCAGGGGTGTAATGTGGCCTCATCCAGCGATGAATGAATGGGTTGACATATCGTGGAATTTGTTGCTATCTTTACAACTCCTTATCGACTGACTAACAAGCAATATTCATAGTTTATATTTATGGTATTATCTAACTGAAATTTGGACTTTGACGAGGAAGCAACAAAGAAAGACTTTGTATCATTGGAGGGGTGTAAAAGGGAATTTATTTGCGAGGAAGATGAGTCAATGGAAGTGAGACTTAGAGCAGATTATTGAAGCTGATTGCATGGCAGGAAAGTTACTTATTTGTACTATTTAACCCACGTATAAATAAGATTTTCTACATCTACTTTTTGTTGAAATGAACACCACACACCCTGCCTTCACACATGTTGCACCATTCCCAGGAACTCCCTGCCTTTCGGATTAATATCACTCGAAAGAACACTTTCTGTGTATATCTTTCTCCCGCATATTGAATCTCCCCACTGACCGCAACGAGTATTCCATTCCATTGCAAAAGCATAAATACAATTGTCAGACAAGTGGCCACACTCATAAACAATAGAACAGTGACAAGATACTGACAGCAACGACGATAAACCCAAGCCAGCTCATATACCATGATCGGAGACAGAGGGACTGAGCAGACCAGGCAGACAGACCAGACAATTCTCATATATAATACTCATAATCGACTTGAAACGTATTCCAAATAAACGACGATCTGTTGACACTGTCTCTGGAATAATCGGAAATGGGAAGCCCTGCCTTGTCTTGCCTTGACGTAACTTTGTTGTAAACAAAAGACAAAAACTCGACTACTGGGTCGTTCAGATTAAGCTGCTGGAAAGCCACCCAGAAGGCGAGGCAACTTTGTGGTGTGGATATGCATGTGATTCCCATTGAATTGGAGATGGAAAGAAGGTGAAAGTCGAGTCGTTGGATAAGGAAAGAAGAGCCCAAGAAGAGGCTTAAGCGGAAAGAGCCTGAAGAAGCTGGGGCAAGATTTATTCGTTGATTTTGAGAGATTTGTATTCCTTTGACAGGAAACCCATCCATGAAAGCAAGCCCCACAAAAGAACAGTCCAGCGATCTGACCACTCTTTCGCGGCACCTTGTCATGGCAATATAAAGTATACGCCTGGTATAACTTGGCCCATGGCTATCATTGACTTCTATCTGGAATCTAGACAACAAGGTCTTACCGTTGTTGCTTATTTGTCTGCAATCGAAGCGACAAAAACACTTTTGCTTTTTTTTTGCTTTGCTCGGACAGTAAAACGTCGAGCTGGCGAGTGTGAAATAGAATCGATTCGAATCGGGAATCGAAATGGAACTTCGTATTGAAACGAGCAAATAAATGTCAAGCGTTGCGTGTGTATTCGGTAATAAATTGTCGAAATTGGAAGAATAATTCGGGTGGGGTTGTAAATTCATAAAAATATCAGGTGCGATGCATGTGCCGTCTCAGGCTCGCTCTTTCATTGGGTCTCGCTGATGATAATTTGTCGATGAAGCAACGCAATCCGAAATAAAGACGAGCGAGAGGCAGGCGCACAATAAAATTATAGTGGGACGTGTTTCCACTGATACACGTAGATGATATCATCAGGAAACGCATAAAGATCGTTGGCTGGTGTGGGGGTTTGTGTGCCTAACCCATATTTGGGGGTCACTCTCTCTCTCTCTCTCCCTCTCTCTCTCGCTCTGGAGCAGATGAAAAATTAAAAACAAAATTCAAGTAGCTGCAGGGGGAACTTCATAAATTATTGCTTTATAGGGTATCCAATGGCACGGGCCATAAAGCACACAAGAAAGCCAAAAGATAACCCCAGTACAGCCCAGACCTAATCTTGATCCCATTGCTTATCTGGCGTTTATCTGTGACAAAGAAATAAGCACAGAGCCGGACAAAGCTTGTGTCTACTGCCAAACTTTGTATCTGTATCTGTGGCATTCGATCTGAACAAGTTTACACCCCCCCGAAAAAAATGAACAACTGCCGCATAACCCGTCACCCAATTGAAGTCAGGTCAGGACAGTACGAGTCTTCTCGCCACTATCTGCCCGTGTGCTATAAATTCTACAAGTGCGACACTTTTATTTTGATGTATTTATGACGCTCTAATGTGTTGAGAAAGAGAGCAGCAACAAACACAGAGAGAGTGAATATGGATTGGTCTTCGGAGTCTTCCACTATCAGGCGTACCGGGGCGAATGCTGTTTTATGATCCTATATATAGCCGTTTCTTGCCTAATTGAATGATATGATAGCAAAGCAGGTTTTAGAAAATATTTTAATAGCTCTTAATACAATCGATTCTCAGGTCATAAAAACAAAATGCTGATACCGATAGCAACATTTTATAGGAGAGTCCACAGAGTCGACTTCCACTGACTTGAGTAGCCGCGGATCATGATAGTTATGATTGCCCTGACTATGATGGCTAATGGATGGTCCCCTCCACTCCCCTTCGATTGTGCACAACTTTTGGGTTATGGCCGCACGGACACGGAGACGAGCGATTAAGGGGCGAATTTTGCAATGAATTTTTCGTTTCACTTTTTGTTTGTTCGAAATTTATGCGCTGCTATTAAAAGTCTTAAGTAATCTTGGGACTCACATTCGCATCATCAGAAAACTTCTTGCAGAAACATTTAACAAATATTTTCCAATTTCTACTTTAGTCTTCATTTTTTTTACAATTTATTCTATACGCTTTTCCATCAGCTTCTATCTGCTTCTGGCAAATGGGTTCAGCTCCTCTCTTGAGTATCCCATCCATTGCATTGATACATAAAATATATTTTTACATATTCGATTACTGCCTTTTCCAAGAAATCGCAGCAATTGTCCCACAGGAATTGAATCTTCAGAGAATATATCGCAATTCTGAGAAATCTGCGCTCGTTGCTTGCATCATTTGTAGTAAAATATTCCTAGCGATATAGAAAATGCCATTAGGAAATCCGGCAAAACTTTTGTTTAACGACATTAAAAGTAATCAATTTGGTGCGGAAGAAGCGTCATCGACAGATCGTCTGCTGTGCTATATAACAAAGTGATCAGCATTCTATAAAAAGGGATTTTTGCATAAAGTGTGACTAAACTTGGGGAGCAGACGAGATATTGGACAGCAGTCTGAGCAGAGTCTCAGCAGCTGTCCAGACAAAGGGAACTGTGTGCTGGGAATACCAAGGAGTTTTCACTCCTTGAACCTGGTTTAAACTTTCGGGGAAACATAAGACTTGCTTTAAAGTTTCTATAAATCTAAGTGAATGCTGAGAAACTTCTGTGAAAGCCTTAAGGAAAGCTATCCTAAGTGCACAACCTCCTGGCACCTTTACCAAATTTCTCTCCCAGCAACTTCTTCTAAAACCTTTTACTACCGAATGTTTCTCTTCACTTGGAGATTTATTTTTGTTTTATTCGCATCGCAGTTGTTCAACTAATTCGAAATATCTGAGCGAGTGTTTCGTAATATGTCATTTGGTTGAAGCTCGTAATAGGCTCGTAATCAGCATCGCCTGGGCTGGGAAACATTTTACATGCAAACATTTTCAATGTCAGTTGATTGCGGCTGATGTCAGGCAATTGTCATCATCCGTTTGCCTTCACGCCCAGATACACTCAGATTCAGATCCAGCCCCATCCCCATCCCCGGCTCTTGCTAAATGTGTGTTTCGAAACTTTTCGACTGATAAACTCGATGACTGAGCAGAGCTCCGACTTTGGCCTGCTTCGGCTTTGCATCTGCTTAAAAATAAACCACATCAAAATGCTTTATCTGGGGCACAAAGGAACTGCGAAGAATGGGCTACAAGTTCGCATTTGTTTCCCCCAAAAAAACACACGCAGAAATAAGCGAAAAAGTCAGTAAATTGTACGGAGAACAGAACTGCCTCAGAAAACTAATTGAAACAGATGTGTGGGGCTGGAGATATTTTAAGATTAGTTAGGGCACTGGGCACGAGCTGTGCCACGGGTTCGCTGCAATGGAATGTCCGCCTTTTTGGGCTGGGTTATACAAGATCTTGCGTCTCCAGGGATCGATCCTCCGCAGAGAACAGTGACGGAGATTGTGGACGGCAAGGAAATGGTTCTCTCTATGGCTCTCCAGGGGCCCATTTCCAGATACATTTTGATAAGTTTTATTGGCGTTTTGTTTCGCATAATGATTCAACTCACTCAAAAGTAATGAAAATATTGCATCAAGTGATTGCACGTACTCCTTGAGGTTCAATTAAAAAGATTTTCAAGTGTAGTTTTGGGAATATTTGTGTTAAATCTAGAAATATTCCCACGTATGTGGTTTATTTAGTTTTTCAAACATTTCAAACACTTTTCAACCATTTCAAGCAACCATTTCAATCACTTTTTGTGGCTATTGTCCACGCTGCAGGTTCAGTCTACAAAGTATTTGTGGGTATTTTAGCAAATTCGAAGTATCAGGCATTGGTCTACTCATCGAGGGCTACCACCTAATTGTTGTATTTAAACATTTCACAGTGTGAGCTGACTGAATCCTGGAATTTACTTTGCTCACTTAGGACTTAGAGGAGACAAATGTTAACCAATAATCTCACTCATCCAAGTACCATCCATAGCCTCCACAATCCACATACACTTATAAATATATTCCCCCCAAGCTTTCCCTCCTCTACTCACCCTGATTATATTTCCTAGCAATCGCTTTGGATCGCATGATAATCTCCAGCAGTGACGTCATTAAACTAGAGTTGTTGCTGCATATCCATGGCCAGAAATCGAACACCAAAGGTAAATGAAATCCTCAAGAGTAAAGAAGTTCAAGCCCACATGGGCCATTGGGCCATTGACATTGACATACTCTCACTCTCTCTCTCTCTCTCACTCTCTCCTCCCAGGGGGCCAGCACACATCGAGTAGGGTCTCTCTCTCTCTCTCTCTCTCTCTTTCCCACACACTTGGCACTCGAATTTTCTCTCTCTCGCTCTAAACGTATATCCGCAGCAGTCGAAACAATTAGAAATCACTTTGGCAAATCAACAAACACAAAGGAAGTGCGGAAAAGTCCAGGCTGCGGGGCGACAGGGTCCAGGGCCAGGGTTCTCGGACACAATTTCATTTGCATACTGCCGCGCCGAGGGGTGGCTTATGGGGGGGTGTTTCCGTGGGCTGTGGGGGGAGGGTCTTTAAAATGTGGTCAACACAACAAAAAATCTTGGCAATGTGTTTCTGTGAGCCTTTTTTTTGCCTTTTGGGTTCCTGGCGTATTGGCAAAAATCAAACAAAAACACTAAGGGAAGGCACTCCGAAGAAGACTCCGATTGAGTCTCCGTTTCCGATTACGACTCCGAAGACACAGCCCGAGCAGCGAGCACTCCGACGGTAGAAATAAGTTTGTTTTTGTTGTTGTTTGGGAGGAGATCTGCGGAGCCACTTGCCACTGCAAAAACTGCAAGAACTTTTTCTCGTACTGTTGCTCGTCTCGACTCGTGCCACAACGAGTACTGCCTGTGTACTGGGTACTGGGGAACTCTTCTTGGCACACACCTGCCCGTCGAAGCTCCTCAGACGCGACTGACGACGACGGGGCCGACACTGACGACGACAACGGAACGGAATGGAGCAGCGGCGAGACTATGCCGACTATTTCGTCTATGCCGCGTTATAGTTTTATTTTTTGTTCTCTCCCAAAGCCAGACCTCGGGCTAGAGTCAGCCCCAGAGCCACCTGCCCAGCCACGTTCCACAGTTTTCAATTTTCCTTTTTTCCTATGCACGAAACAGAAAAAAAAAAGTTTTTCTTTCAGGAGAAAAAAGCGCGCGGCGCTCAACGGAGACTGACTACGCGACGGGTGGGCGGAGGGACGTCGCTTCGGGGTGGTGGAAATTATGAAGGAACGAGTGGAGCAGCCAAAAAAGGAAGGAAAAACAGAAAACCAAACCACCAACCAACCACACGCCGCACACACAGGTGCAAGCTGAGGCACGTGTTGTTGCTGGACTCCCTATCTGTGCGAATGGCTGAGTGCGGGCAGCGAAAGGACACTAACGACAACGGCACACAAAAAAGGCAACGTAATTCATGCAAATGAAGTCACGCAAGTTTCCTTTGCTAGTTCCCCTACCCTCCAGGGAGCCACGCGGGTTGTGGCTCCAAATAAGAGCTCGAGCACTGCCCATCCAATAGGCATTGACCAGCTTGGAGTGTGGGGCCTTGGAGGAAGGCGGAGCAGTGTCTGGGGTTGGTGGATAGTTGGTTGGTGTGGGGATAATACAGCCTAAGGCCTACTATGGGTAATGACAATGTTTCAGGCATTACAAATGGTGCAAAAGATTAGGGAGGAGAGTTAGGAAGTGGAATAACTAAATGTTGGATGATCATTTCGAGATTATTGACTGCTGGAGCTAGAAGAAGGATTTTAAGTGTTCCATTGATGGAGTGAACATATTATTTATGACTTTAAAAGAGTAGAATAACTATTCAAGAACCAATCCTAACTTGAACAATATTTTTCAATTGATATTCTGATGGTTTTTGGAGCAAGAGTTGATTAGATTTCAAGCAATAATATTACAATTTACGGCATATCTCTTTCATGAAACTGTTACCAAAAAAGACACTCCTTGGCCTGTACAATTTATTCGAATTTTCATTCTCCCAACATTGTGTAGATATACGCACCCGATAGAGTGTTACAGGAGCTACCATCCCCCAAGAGTCACCCCCTAATCACTCCCTTTGTGGAAGTCACCGGCGAAAGTCCTTCGCTTAACCTTGTTATCTAAGTCATCTATCTATATGGCTGTTATTAAAGCCCAGCCGGGGCCATGCACATGCCAACTACTCCTCTGTTCGCTCCGCCGAGAGGCACAATTTATGCAACACCCACACTATTAGCCACCGTTCCCCGCTGCCCACATAAGACCACCCTCTGACCAATGGGCAGGCAAATGGCCACCCCCCGTCAAGTGGGCAGTGTCAAGTGTGTGTGGGAGAGTGGGATATGAATGGGATTGGGGGGGGGGGTGGGTCGCTGCATTTGTCGCACTGCTCAGTCCGCGTGTCAGTCGTTTGTCATAGGCCCGACAATGTCGGACGTTGTCGTCGTCCTGGCCTGTCGGCTGGAACTCTTTTCAAGTACATGCAATCAATATTTTGCTTACATTAATTATTCATGCTGGCAGAAACAGTCTGACTCCCTCATCCCCTAGAGCCTGCCACCTGTGTTCCACTCCTCTCTCACTCTCCTCTCTCTCTCTCTCTCTCTCTCTCTGCCAGCAGTCTGCATAATATTTTAGCCTTTAGTTGCGTTCCAATTCCAGCGCATTGCTCGCATTTTTTTCCTATTACCAGACCACTGGAAAATACAGCAGAGGGAGAGCGGAGTGGGAGAGCGCGTTTGGAAAACCTCATAATAAAAGCAAGTCAACCGTGGGAAATACATTTGTTTTTGTTCCATCTCGTAAAATATATGCGAAGATTTGTGCAGTCTTTTATTGATGGCTGTGGCCCGTGTGTGCTGCTGGCCATTTTGGGTCAGCTTTATGGTACGTATAATTGGCCAAAACGGATGGATCTTGGTAGCCAAATGCGCTGTGGCATATTAATTGCAGTTCTTATTGTTGTTTATCTAACTCTATGCACGTCATTGGGGCGCCACATACACAAAAGAGCGTGGAAGTACATTTTTCTATTTATAAACACACTTGATCTTGTGGCGGGAATATATTCGGTTTACATATTACACAGAGAAGCCATCACTTTTGAGATATTTCCCACAGAATTCAAGGCTAATCGCATGTATAGAAGGGTGAAATGTGTGCTAAGAATAATACTCTGACATCTACATATTCACAGAATAATATAGTCGAGCTTCCGCAGAAAGGAAATTAAATCATGTTCTGTGTGCGACCTACTTGGCGGAATATGCAAAAAGATAATAAGTAGTTCCCATGGTAGGAGCAGGGGCTACGACGTGGGAAAGACTAGGGATGATGACATGGAATTATATGTGGAATTTTATCATTTATATTCTATAATTTTCTTGCCTTTCTGACTGATATTCAGCTAAAATTACTTGATTTCTCCTGCTTATTTTTACCCCCTTTCTGACCCAAATTTCGGCAGTTCTCGTTCCCTAATTAAGAGCTTAAAACACACACAAAATTGTGGTCATAAAAAAGGGGCACTCGTATCGCGAAAAGTGTCTGCAAAAGCCATTTTCATTATCCAAGCCAAGAGTTTCCCCATTAATTTTCCCGAACGGCCAGACACACAGCCACCAAACACCCACACTCCGCAGAGGGGTAGAGCGGAGTGTGGAGAGGGTCCAGCTCCAAATGAAATAATTTCCAGGCGTTCATTTAATTATCAGGAAATTACAAACGCTCTCAAAAATATATTCGAAAGTGTGTATGTAAGGGGAGACACAGAGAGAGAGAGGCAGAGGGAGAAAGTGGGAGAGGTATGAGTATGAGGTAATCGTGCAGCAGCAATACCCTCCCCAAGGCATCCAACAGACCAAAACCCTGCACACTCTCCCTTACAGTCGCAGTCCCACACTCCCGAACTCCACACCCACTGTCACCGTCCAGCCCCCAGATACAGCCAGTGTGCCCCAACCCATCCACAGCGACATCATCATCATCTGCCTGCCCCACTGTGCACTTACACATGCAACAGTTCTGGCACACACCAGCGCACCAGCCAATGGCGCTCAATGGGAGCCACCATCGCTGCTTTTGGCCTTCTGCCTGGCTGTCGTCTCCCTTATCTCTTTGTTATTATCTCTCTCTCTCTATCCTCACACCCCACCCCAGACAGCCACACAGAGCCCCACACAGCCTGAAGAACGAGGAGAGAGTTCTGTCTGTCATTCGTTTGTCATCGTAAGACGCTTGCGACGCGTCGCAACAGCCGTCCGCTCTCTTCTCTGCTGTCTCCCACTCGCGCTCTCGCTCTCGCTCTCTCGCTCTCTCTCTGTTGCGTCTGCGCTTTCGTGTGCTTGGGGTGGAGCTTTGTCAGGCAAGAGAGAGGAGCCAGAACAGAATCTGGCGTGCCAAATTCGCCGCGACGAATTCGTCTGGCTTGCTTGTTGCACCTTCGCCAAGAGCGACAGAGAGAGAGAGAGGGAGAGAGAGTTTCTGTTGCTTTTGGCATTTGATTAATGAAGTGTGTTAAGAGGCCAGCCACCAGCAGTACTGCGTGGGGGTCTACCAAGGACAATGCCTGAAGAGGTCCTTGACTGGAGGTTAAAACAGTAAAAAACTTTTGCCACTGCCTGCTTTTTACTCGACTCTGCGCTCGTTTTTGTCTTTTTATTTCTTGCTGTTGCTCTTCCGCTTTATTTTTCTTCGCTTCTTCTGTCCAGCAGACAACTCGTAGGCGTGGCCAACATTTGTCGCCGTTGCTGATTCTGCCGCTGCCGCTGTCTCAGTCTCTGTCTCTGTCTCTGCTGCCACTCTCCTCGTTATCATATCTATCTCTCAGTCGCTGCTCATTTGGCGTGCGCTCTCTATCTCCCCGCCTGTGGCCATCTCGCTCGCACGCTCATCTGTTGCTGTCGCTGTCGCTGTCGCTGTCTCTGCTGCTACTGCTCGTTCGCTCTTTCGTCTGCTGGCTCTTTCGCTTTGACCAACGGCACACGCATACGTATACGTAATGTGCGCCAAAATGTGTCGCCACGAATGTCGTTGGTCCACTGATAGCGACGACGACACTGGGCAGAGAGACAGCAGCAGCGACAGAGCGACGCCGCAGCAGCGGAAGAAGCAGAGACAGCCAGCAGTGGCAGCAGCGGCAGCAGAGGACAGCCAGCAGAGGGAACAGCAAAAACTTTTAGCAAAATGGCGTTTCTGGTATATAGAGAGTGAGGTAGAGAGAGGTGAGAGGTGGATCCCCAATCCTCATCGTT